AAAGTTTTTCAGCTGATTTACTTTAGCAAATGGCCTCAGCTGGAGTACAAAGGCCTGTCCCCACCCAGCAACATTTTCTTTAGAAATCAGCCACATCCTCAGTAGAAAAGCCTGTCCCTTGACAGCCATGGCAGAGAAGGGTTCTTGCTTTCTGTGAGGAAGCATCGCTCTCTCCACAGAGGGTCAACACCCCCTTTCTGCTGAGGAAGAGCTAGAGCTCTTCAATCAGCAAAGCTCATGCTCTCTGCTTTATTTGAGAACTCTAGCTTTGGCTTAGTGTCAAGGTTCTACCTTTCCTCAGGGCTTGTGTTGCTCCATGTACTGGCATCCATCTTAGGTGTCTGCAAAGCATTGTGGGATCCTTTATGCTTTCAGCCCCCTGCTGCTCCTCCCCCAGGAGGTGGTGGCTTATCACATATAAGTCTGCTGTTTGTAGCTGTCCATTGCATTCGTGTCCTGTCTGTTGCACAGCAGCAAGCTCCTGTTTAGTTTCTCATTGCTCTCCTGGATACCGACTCGGCTTTGGCAAGACTCCTTCCTGGCTTCTGACCCCAGCTCTGGCGACCATCCTTCCTGGCTTCTGACCCCGGCTCTGGCGATCATCCTTCCTGGCTTCTGACCCCGGCTCTGGCGACCATCCTTCCTGGCTACTGTTCTACCAAGTCATCCGCTGTTGCTGTTGGACTTGCATAGACTCTGTCTTGTTTTTGTATAATAAACCTACCTTTAATTGCACCTCCTTGTGTGTCTGGCTCCTCGCTCCCTGACACTTCGTAGGGGGTTTGTTAGACCTCTGCAGAGACCACTGCTTCCACACCAAGGCAAGAATCCTTAACCTTGAGGGCAAGCTTCATAACCTTGATGAAAATGTTGTGGTATATGAAGGTGACATGCTTTTATTCTTGCAAGATCCAAATTTGTCTTTACAATCCGCCTTGTTAACACTGAAGGAATACTCAGTTTTCTCTGGCCTCACAATTAACTGGTCCATGTCATAGACACTTCCACTCGATTCTATACCTACAGGGGCCCAAGACATCACAATGTTTCCCCAGTGGGTAACAAAATTTAAATACATGGGAATACAAGTCACCAGTAATGTGGCAGATTTTGTTAATTTAAAGTGTTACTAAACCCAGGACCCTGCATTCACTCTATCTGGGCTCCCAAAGTACACACTACATGGAAATGCAATTATTTTAGTTATTATAAACTGCTAAATGAATTAGTGATGAATAGATAGGTGCTGTGCTCAAATAGGGTAAGTAGCATAAAGGGTAGGTATGGACCTTATACTCCCCATATAATTACTAAATGATGAGTTTTGTGGATGAATACCAATAAATAAATATCAAACAATACATATACCAAACGTAAATGAATTAAACATATAAAGTGACTGAATATTCCCAATTTTATAAAACGTCCTTATGCTTGGATGTATACATCAGTCCCTCTGGCTTTCCAACCTGGAAGTGCAGGTGTTGGTGATCATACGGGGTGGAACCTCCAGAGATTTATGACACACAATGTGATATATGACCACCATAATGGAGGTCAAATAGGTCTGGAGAGTGATCCATTCGTTTGCTTATTGCAGGTGTGGATACATGGATTTCTATGTCACCAAATTTTGAAGTCAAGGAATGACTGTCACAATTTGAATTCATGCAGAACTCGGTGGAAGCATAAGGACGTTTTATAAAATTGGGAATATTCAGTCACTTTATATGACCTGGCCCCCAGAAAGGCGACTAGAACGTTGCTTGGACTACTGCTCTATTATGATGGAAAGGAGATTATTCTACTCTGGAAATCTCCTGTCCCTCTGACCCTTTACAGATGGAAATCACTTATAAACGCTGCTCTTCCCTTTCCCCTGGAAAATTCCGGCACAACGATCCTGGCCCAAGCTTGCCGCTACGTGTGATTCTCTGCAGCTTCTTGTAATCTCACATTACTTATTTATGTTATGGATAATCACACATCCTGTTTAAAGGTCTTCTCAGGTTTGGAATTTTCAATTTGTAGTGAATTCATCCTCTGATATAGGGTTGCATAGTTTTGACTCAGTTTGTATCCTTTTGGTGGTAATCATGACATTATGTTTTTCTGTCATCTCTGCTGGACCCAAGTTTATCCTCAGTCATATTACTGTACCTTTCTTGATGATAAAACCCTGCCTAACTGTGTTTATGTGAAGTGTGTACAGTGTGATTGTGAACTGTATGCAATCCTTGTTATGTACTATATCTTAAAACTTTAATAAAAATAATGTATTAAAAAAAAAAAAAAAAAAAACAAGGTTTTGATCTGAGATACAACACTCTGCACTTCAAAAATGTGTTTTTCAGCACTGGGTAAAGTTAAATTTTAAAGGTAACGTATTTTTATATCTATTTTTTCTTTATCATGTTAGGGATTTAAAAAATAACATTATTATTTTTATATCTTTTAGGCTTCAATCACACTTGTGCCACTTGTCATGCGACTTTGGACACTAAAGTCACATGACAGGTCGCACCCAATTCTTTTTGATGATAACTGTTCAAATATGTGCGACTTAAAAATGGTTCCTGCACTACTTTGGTCTGACTTTTATGCAACTTGAATGCCATAGACTGCAATGTAAACCCTCAAAAGTTGCACCTGAATGTTATACATGAAACAGTTGTCCATTATCATTGGTGAAAGCCAAATTTGCATTCCAAGTCTCACCCATCCAAAGTTGCATCAAAGTTGCACTCCAAAATCACAGTCAAAATTGTGCTACTTTGGAGTCACACCAGTGTGAATGGAGCCTAAGTTGGGTAAATATGGAATATTGTATTTGAATATTTCTTATTTATGACTGATTGCTTCTGTAGGCTTCTGTTTACCAGGATAATCCTAAAACCGAGCTCCAGGGAAAATTCAAACCTACCTTTGGATTGGGGCTGCAACCTCCCTCTCACACCCACATTGCAAGGGTTAAATGCTCGTTTTTGTCTAGGGTACTATTAAAAAGTCCCATTGGGAAATAGGTTGCTATTTTATTTTTTTTAGAAGATGTCTTCCCAAGTTGCATATATTAGGTACAAAAAACCTAGGTAGAAGATTAGCAGAAAAATATGTTATTTCAGAACAAGAGTCCCTTATTTTTGGACAGCCCCAGACCATAAAGAAAAAGGTTTTTGTAGCAGTGCAACTGTACAAAAAAAAAGTGTCAACCATCCCAAGCTATAACTGGCCTTTGCAACAAGGTTGGGCACATGGAAGAGCAATGCTCATCACAAACAAAGGATTTTTTACACCACACGTACCAGCTAACCTGCAAAATAACGGAATGGGCCCTGTCTAACCGTTTACATTAAAAACAGAGGGTTTTGTTTTCACACGTTTGCAAATATATGCTGAAGCTGCAGTGCTCACACCAAGGGTCCTCTGTGTGTACTGCGGTCTTAACTCTAAATTTACATTGCCTCCAAAGTAGGAGCACATGTAAGAATGGTTAGATTAACCAGTTCCCAACCGCGCTATAGCCGAAGGACGGCTACAGCGCGGTTGTCTGGTTCTGGGACGACGTCCATGGACGTCATTCCAGAACATGCCCTCCTGCGTGCCCCCAGCGGCACACAGCTGATCACGTCATACAGTAAACAGCCAATCATGGCGGCCTTTTACCACGTGATCAGCTGTGTCCAATGACACAGCAGGTCACCGGGTAAATACAGTTGCTGGTTATCTGCTGCACTTTCCTCACGCTGTCACAGCATGAGGAAAGTACTGCTGAGAATCGGCAATTGTCAGCAAAGGGATCAGCACTGATCATCAGGGCACTGCTGATCAGTGCCCATCAGTGCCGCCCACCTGTGCCCATCAGTGCCACCCACCTGTGCCCATCGGTGCCACCCAGCTGTGCCCAGCAGTGCCACCCACCTGTGCCCTGCAGTGCCATCCAGCAGTCCCACCCACCTCTGCCCATCAGTACCACGCATCAGTGATGCCCATCAGTACAGCCCATCAGTGCCACCTATCAGTGCATAATCATCAGTGCCGGCTATCAATGCCTCCTATCAGTGCCACCTCATCATTGCCCATCAGTGCTGCCTATCAGTGCCCATCAGTGCTGCCTATTAGTGCATCCTCATCAACGCACATCAGTGAAGGAGAAAAATTACCTGTTTGCTAAATTTTATAATAGAAGCAAAGAAAAACGTTAAGGTTAGCTAAGGTACCACAGGTGAACAGCTGGAAGGATCCAAGGCCCAAGGACAAAAAGCCACCCCAATGGAACTGGAGTACTCTGGTAGCAATTAGGTAGGGTTTCTCTACAGTAGCTAGGTCTTTTGCAGAAGCTGTGTGCTATTTGACCTCATTTACCCTTGTGAATGGGGGGGAGGAGAAGCAGTAAAAACATGCGTTTGAGCCCCCAACCGCTCCCCATTAAGGTACAAAGGCAGCGAATAGCAATCTATATATGCAATAGACAGGATTATTTGCAAGAACTGAATGGGAGTACCCTGCAATCACCCCACAACCACATGCAATGGCAAGTAAATGGGCACTACACTAAAATAGTGCTAAAGTCTTTTTTGGAATAAAGTAGGCTTAGTCCTTAGTAGGCATAATGTGGCCCATGGAAGCTCTCTTACTTTCAATTTAGCCTATTCCTTTGTTTCAGCTTCTTTACCAATTGTATGAGTACGTCAGCCTAGAGAGACCTAATTCAAATTCTGCTTTAGAAAACTTTAGGGACTATTAACCACTTGCCCTCCAGAAGATTTACCCCCCTTCCTCACCAGGCCATTTTTTGCTATACGTCGCTATGTTACTTTAACTGACAATTGTGCAGCCATGCAATGCTGCTTCCAAATGAAATTTATGTCCTTTTTTCCCACAAATAGAGCTTTATTTTGGTGGTATTTTGGTGGTATTTGATCTCCTCTGTGTTTTTTATTTTTTTGCGCTATGAACAAAAAAAGACTGACAATTTGTAAAAAAAAATAATATTTTTGACTTTAATTAGTTTTCATGAAGGTTAAAACATCTACAAATGGCCGTATATATACTGGAATTACTTTTTTTCATACTAGTAATGGCGATCAGCGACTCATAGCGGGACTGCGGAAGGCATTCTGACACTGGGGGGAACTGACTAACTGCCACTAACATACCCAGTGATACTAATACAGTGATCAGTGCTAATAAAAAGCACTGACACTGTACTAATGGCACTGGGCAGGAAGATGTTAACATCTGGGATGATCAAAGGGTTAACTGTGTGCTGTTTTACTGTGTGTGCTGTGGCTGTGTGTGTATTACTAGGGAAACATGCTTCTTTGTATTGCTCTGCATAGCAGAGCAATACAAAGCAGCATGTCGGTGCTGACAGGGGAAAGATCTGTGTTGTTTACACACAGACCTTTTCCCTTTCACTGGTCCTTGGCGATCGTTGGGTGCCAGCAGGGAATCTCCAGCCGGGACCCGGTGATCAAAAGTTGTAGCTGCCAATGACGGTGTGGATAGGGTGGCGGCACGTGCGTGCCCCCTACCCAGAAATGCAAAATCACATATATATATTTATATGTGTGATTTTGTGCAGCCCTGTCGCCCTGTAGCAGTAGTCCTGCTATAGGGCAGCAGGGAACCGGTGAAACAAGCTGGCTAAAGATGGATGGGTAAAAACAAACATATTACTTTGAACATCACTTGCAATTATTATCAGTTTCTACACTGTGAAAGGGGTGGTAAGCTCCCTAGTCATTCAGAGGTTCTTGTTATTGCACAGAAATATTTTCCAACTTTGAAAATTTCTCTGAAAATGGGTTTGAAGGAGATCAAAAGTCTTGCTCTTGTGTAACAGTCAGCAACACATCATGTCACATCCCAGCATTCATAAGACTTGTGTGGGGACAGGCATATAATTTCTGTCCTTCGCTGGGACCTAGCTGCAGTTGATTCTCAGGGATCTAGCTACAACTAGGAAATGTAGGGCTGTGGATGCTGATGCGTTGGTGTTTTAAAGGAAACCAGCACTAGGGAGAATAAAGAGACTGCTACTGACAAACACCATTTGAAAATGATAATCTACTTCAATACATTTGCTGCTCCACTACAAATACATGTCCTCAGCTCAACTTGCTGCCGGTTTCCAGCTACTACATGGCTTGCCTCCACCAAAGAGATATGCATACACAAAGAGAAAGAGAGATGTGCCGCAATCCTTTATCTGCTGTATAATTAATTGCTGCACCTGGTGCAATCTACAAATAATTTTTTATCAAGCGAAACACGTGAGAGGTAGGAGCCCAGGTGGTCTGTCTAGCACCAGGTGCAGCAATAAAGTATAGAGATGCTTAAGGCATGGAGTGCTTCTCTCTTTTCTTTTGTTTGTGCTCATCTGACAACGCTAGATTGAAAGTAGAACTTCTGCTCTGAATACTTGTTCTGGTTCAGTGATTTAGAAAGTACTGATGTTGCCGGATCATCATGACATCCAGGGAGTCATGGAGTATTTTCAGAAGAGGTCTGTAATATCAGCATCCAAACTTCCTCAGTACAGGTTTCCTTTACAATGGAAGTAAAGTCCCCTTTGTAACTATAATAAGGCTTACCTGTAGGTACAGTAAATATCTCCTAATCTTGCACTGTTTAGGAGACATTCACACAGCATGCAGCCAGTGACACCACCGGTGCCGGCTTCTGAAGGGATGCAATTACCGTGACGTACCTTCAGAGCTCTGTGCTCAACCTCCATCCCAATCCTCCAGTCCACCTGCTTCCCCATCCCATTTTCATTACGACCGGGGCATGATCCGAGAACGTCCTCGTCTCTATGTCAATTTTAACCAGGTGGTCTATAAGTTGATGGTCTATTAAGATGTAATCCAATCTCGAGTATATCTCATGTGCATTAGAGAAGAAGGTATAGTCTCTGTCTTTCATATGCATTATTCTCCAGATGTCCACCAGTTGATATTCATGCATCACTTTTTTCAAGGCTCTCAGAGACCTACTCCCCTCTCTTTGCACGGAAGAGGTATTATCCTTTTGTGGGTCCATACAGAAATTTAGATCTCCTGCTACTATCAAGCGCCCCTTTTTAAACTCCATTAATTTTCTCAACAGACCCTTCATATACGTCTCCGGGTTTTTATTAGGGCAGTATATATTGGCTAAAGTACACTCAATCCCCTGAAGTCTACCTTTTAAGAATAAAAAACCTCCCCTCCGGGTCGGTTCTTCTATCCTCCAGCTCAAATCTCATATTCTTTGCTAAGCCTATTGCAACCCCTTTTGCTCTTTTAATTGGAGAATCTGCATAATACCATGTTGGAAAATATTTGGATTTCAATTTCACATTTGCCTCTATCTCAAAATGCGTCTCCTGCAAAAACACCACTGACGCAGCCCTATGATGTAACTCATTAAACAACCTAAATCTCTTCCCTGGACAACTCAGCCCATTCACATTATAGGTTATAAACTGTATATCTTCCATCTTTCCCAATTAACGCCATCTCTCTTCCAGATTGCCTCTTCCTCTTTATCCCATCTGTCATGCAGAGTGTTAACCCAATACCTCCTCCCCTCCCTCCCCCCCCAGCCAACTCCCATCCCCTCCTCCCACCCTCCTTTTCTCCCAACCCACCCCCCTCCCTCCCCCCCTCCAACCCCCTCCCCCCCCCCCCCCCCCCTCTTTTTAGGCCTAACATTTGCCTACTAATCATTTATGGATTACAAAGTCCACTTTTGATTTATTCCTTGGGCTAAGACTCCGTCCATGGACGACTTTCCCCTTATCTAACCTCCCCATTACCCCCCAAGCCCCTCCCATATTTATCATAGGCACCGAAAAGAATAACGAGGGTGATAGGGGGGGAACAGAAAAAGATAATGGAAACCTATTTCTCTTCCTCCATCCCTCTCCCCCTATCCCCTGCCCTCCATCTCCTCCCACCCACATATTGCCAGTCCTCTTTTCTCTTCATTCTATTTTCCCATTGTTCTTCTTCCCAACCAGGGATTTCCATTCTTTGGATTTTTAAACTATCACAGAAATTTTTCAAATCTTCTGGAAACCTGAGGTATGCTGTAGTCCCATTTTTCCATCCTATTAGGCACTCGGGAGTCCCCCATCTATATTGCACATTTTGTTCTTTCAACCTTTCCAATAGGGGTCTCAAAATTCTCCTTCTCCACAGAGTCTCGAGCCAGATCCGCATATATCTGTATATCTCCTCCTTCATACTTAATTACTGATTTTCCCTTGGACTTCTTCCAGATTTTTTCTTTATCCCGAAGTTCATAGAATTTAGCTATTATATCTCTCGGCCTTTCTTCCCCCAGGTTTCTCAGAGATTTTCCTTTTCTAAAGGTTCCTTCTATTTTAGACCCTTCCATTTCTGAGCTGTCTGTTATAGTGTTAAATATTTTACAAACCACCTCTTGCAGATTTTCTCCCTTTGAGTTTTCTGGGACCCCACGTATCAAGATGTTCCTCTTCCTATCTTTATTTTCTTGTAACTCAACCTTATACAGCAGTTTCTCTTGGGCTCTCCCTATATTGGTTAGTTTTTTTTCCAGTTCAGAGATAGCCTGGGCCTGACCTTTAACTTTCTCCTCCGTTTCCTCAACTCTCTCCAACAGGTGTCCCAGATCACTACGAATATTTACCATTTCTTGTTTTATTGTTTTCTCCAGTTCTTTTTAACATTTCTGCCATTTCTTTTTTATTAGGTATTTGTAGATCTTTTTCCATCGCTGTATTGCCTGGTATTTGCTGATTACTAGTATCAAGGCCTAATGATACTCTAGGACTGCTTTCCGAACTGAGGTCTGCTTCTCCTCTTTCAGTCCTGCTCTGGGGTCTTTCTGGGGTTACGTTTCCTTGGAATGTATATTTTTTAATTGTAGCAGCCTGGGACCCTTTAAGCCCACTTCCTTTTACGTTTTTATTTTTCATTTTTCTCTATGGCACTTTTCCTTCTTATAGTCCTGTATAAATTCGTGGGTGAGGAGGGGAAATAGTTCTTTAAACTTTTCAAGTTTCTGCCCTGTCCCCTTGCTGGTTTTCCTTTTTCTCCTTTTTTTTTTTCCTCTTCTTCCTTCTCCCCTCACCCCCTCCTTCCCCTTAAGCCTCTCTTCTTCTCTCTGGGGGCGTCTTCCACCTTTTGAACATTCTCCAGGGGTCCCCCCTTTCACTTACACTCTGTTTCTTGGAGATCAACACACTAGTTCCTCCAAAGCAAATCACAGTTCATTCATAATCACTCACCCTCCTCCTGTATCCTCTTCCAGTGAGTGCCTTCTCGCTCAGTTCCTCTGAGGGTCCATTCATGGGGGGGGGACTCCCCAGGGTCTCTTCGGCCTGCTTGTCCAGTTCTCTGTAGATCTTCTTATAATTTCTTTTGGGCTCAAGGGGTACTAGTGGGATAGGGGGAGAATGAATCTGTCAGCGGCAAAGAGGTCGGCGTTGCTCTCTCACTGCAAAACGCCGGCCGGCCGGCTTCCCGATCTCCCAGTAATGCTTTGCGGCCGGTCACGTGATCGCACCGGCCCCCTTCGTCTCCCAGCGTCCAGGGACTCTCTCTCTGTCAGTCTCCAGACGCTCCTCTCACTCCCCTCGCCCGCGTCAAACTCTCCTCCAACGGGAGGCGCCAGGCCGGGTAAGTCCCACACCGCTGGGCTCTAACATGTCTCAGGGGCTAGGCTTGGAGGCTTGGGGAGGTCAGACAGCGGAGCTCCGTCCACGAGCTCCTACATTGAGCTCTCTCCTGCCGCCATGTTCAGGCCCCGCCCCCTGGTAGGAGTCAAACTCATTCGGGACTCACCTGCATTTTATGTTGTTATACCTGAGTGGACTGTTTTAGTACAGAATGTATGATGGCTGTGTATTTATCTGTACCTTGTCCAAAATAAAGAATTTAAAAAAAATCAAGTCTTAATAGAGAGTTTGGTTTACCTCTTGGCTTTCACATTTGCTGCTTTGAGAAGACTAGAGTCATGTAACAAGCTGGGAGCTAGTCCTACATGTATTCCAGTTGAGCAAATAATTTCCTCCTGGTACAACCTGTACCAGAAAACCTAGTTGCATTCCCTGTTTTGACCCAAAAAACAAATTAATGTTGACAATATGATGCTTGTTATTCTGCTGCTGGCAATCTTTCCAACTGCTGCTGCCAGTCTGCTCCGATCTGAGATTCTTTACTACTGCCAAAGTATCGTTTAATGTTCTATATTACTTTTAATGTGTTCTGGCTTGTTCTCCATAGCATTTCTGCAGATGGAATCCAAGGTCAAGGCCACAGTCCTGGAAGCTGGGAACATTAAATAATCATTTATGTTTACTGTAAGACTCTTATATAAATATGTAAAGAAATTATTATTTT